ACCACTTATTGTCATTTGGGTGAAAGTTCATAGAGGAAATCAGTTTTCCATTTAACAGTTCATACATACTTTGTTTCATGTCATTGATCACAATCCTCTTAATGTAACATCACTCATCCCACTCCCTCCCTGTGTTTGTTTCCATCCCTCCTTTCCTAACATTCTCTGCCTTGTGAACTTTGCCTTTGGGCAAATGTTGCCCTTTTGATCTCAAATGGTTGATTGTTCTAAGGAGTATGTCCCTCCCTAATGTGTGTTAACCTTGTGGGCCTATTGTTTGGTTAAAAATTGAGCCAGGGAGTGAGTTCAGTTCCAAATTCCAAGGGCTATAGTCTTAGAGGTTCCATCAGTCTCCATCAGACCAGTTTTTTTTTTTTTTTTTGAGTTTTGTTTCATGTATTTCTCCCATTTTATCCAGGACCTTCTAATGTGATTCATTTCAGAGATATCTGAGTGGTAGCCAGGCATCATCTAGTTCTTGCAGAGGTTTGGGTGGTCCATGAGTCCTCTGGACTAATTGTTTCCTTGTGTCTTTAATTTTTTTCACTCTTTGCTCCAAATGGGAAGAGACCTATTGTTACATGTTCACAAGCTTTTAGGACTCCAGTCATTACTCACCAAAATAGGATGTAGAATATTTTCTTTGTGGGCTCTGTTATGCCAATGGACCTTGAGTCCCCCTAGGCCCAGTGATTCATTTTGGTTATGACTAAGAAGTTTTAATAACTTTGCCTACTGTATGTTCTACTGTATTCATGGATATATTTGCAGCATGTGTAAATACATATGTAGAAATGTCCTCTGTCAAACCTGTGTATATTCCTGGGTATAGTCCTGTTCTCCTTTCCATAGCTGTTCAGCTTGTGTGTCTATCTATATATCCATTCATATATTATTGTTATTACAGGATTGTGTATGTAATTGTATTTACCTCTGTTGCCTTTAACTCATATACTTCTCCCAGTGCCTTCCTTTGCCTTGATCATTTTGTTCTGACTTCCTTCTTATTGTATACTGCCTTCCCCTTCACCCAAGTTAATACATGGGAGCTCTGGTACCGTAGCGTCTAAGGCACTTGACTGCTAACCAAAAGGCTGGTGGTTCAAACCCACCAGCCACTCCTCGGAAGGAAGATGGGGCAATCTATTTCCATAGTGATACTACCTCGGAAACCCAAGGAGGGGTCGCTATGAGTCAGGTCCGACTCGACGGCACATAACAACAACAACAACCATCTAGTTAATAGTTTACCCTTTCTTCCCCTCCCATCACTTAAAATAAAACTCTGTGAAAACCTTTTCTTGACTTTTAACAATAGTAGTCTCATACAATATTTGTCCTAACAACAACAAAATTTCACTCAGCATAATGTCTTCTAGGTTCATCCATGGTACAGATGTTTAACAAAGTCATCATTGTTCTTTAACATTATTTAACTTTTACTAATGGCTGTATTTGACAAGTGCCTCACAAAGTTCCTGAAATGTAGCAGTCAGTTATTGTGAGCCAGTACAAACAAGCTATATAGCACACCACAGCCATTGCAATCTTGACAACAGGGAAAATAGTCCTTTCCTTATAAAGTTCTTATGAAGATTAGGTGTGATCATATATTTAAGGGATTTAGTACAGACTCAGATCCCTAGTAAGTGCTCAAAAATGTGTGTGTATAGTATTTTATTTTTACTATTTTCTGGGTAGTTACTCTTGGGTATCAAATGGCAATTGAAGGCAGTACTTGGAGGATTCAGGTGCCTCTGAAATAACACTTACCTTCTTTTGTTACCAGACAGTACTCCCATTCTGTCTACAAATAAGGTGGCCTTTGCTCTGGTGGCTCAATGGTTAAGTGCTCGACTGCTAACCACAAGGTTGGCAGTTCAAACCTATTAGCAGCTCCATGGGAGAAAAGACCAAGTGATCTGCTTCCATAAAGATTGCCTGAGAAACTAGGGGGCAGTTCTACTCTGTCCTATAGGGTTGCTATAAGTTGAAATCAACTTGATGGCATACGGCAACGACAATTCTGACGTCATTCGGGCTCCCCAAAGGAGCCCAGTGGCACAGTCTCAGGATCATTCTTTCTGCAGGCACTATTACTTACTAAAGATGGTGAGGAAACATGTAGGTAAAGGCTATTTTTAAATAATAAGATGAAAAGAATGTAGAGACATTGCATAATTCTGTTTTATTAACAGATTTCTCTTTCCTTTTCTCTTTTTTTCCCTTCCTCTCATCCTCTGGTTTGGGAAATGTTTCAAAAGTTGCAAACTAGGCCCCCTTCTTTCTCCTTTCTCTTCATTTTTTATTCTTTTTTCCCCCCTCACTCAGTATTTTATATATATATATATTTCTAGACATTTCTTTTTCTTAGGGAAGAAGCATTTATTCTTGCAGGCTCCTGAGCTGCTCTTCTGAAATTACCTTACAACTCTTTTGCTTTTATACCTTTCTTTGTCACTGATCCTCTTTATTCATACTTTGTTCTGGAATAAAGACACATATGTTTACTTAGTTCGAAGTCAAACATGCTGCCTTCCATGTCCAGGGAGATGTAAATTATGAGTAACTAATTCCACTTATGAATTAGCTGTGTCACTTTGTGCAAATTGGCTTAGACTTTCAAATTATTAGTTTCCTTAACTGCAAAGCAGAAGTCATAATTCTTGCCACACTCTTTATCTGGAGCCATTGTGGGGTTGTAATGGAGGCATTGCATATGAAAGTGTGTTGTAAATGGTAAAGCACTGTGTATACACACAGTGGAGGTGACTTCTTTTCTGATAATATGTCTGTGTATAAGAAGTCATATATCCTACTGAACCCTCACTCACCCTCCATCTTCTTCCTCCCTTCCCTGGGGAGATTAAATAGACTCTTCCCCACCATTCTAACTGCAATGACAAAAAGCACAGGGTTTTGACTCACTTCTGGGTGAATTCCCTCTCTGCTACTTAGTAGCTCAATGACTTCAGGCAAACAGAAACTTCTTGACCCCCAGAGTCCTCATTTATAACATGTGCATAATGATACCCTACTTAGCAGATTGCTGGAATGATTAATGTTTTCAGAGTGATGAGCCAAGGGCCTGGCACCTAGAATGTGCTGCTCATTAACTCTTGATGCTACTAATACCCTACCCCTTAAGTGGTTCAGCTTTAACTATTTCCCTCTGGCAGCCTGGCAGGTGGTATGATCCACCCAGAGTTAGCATTCCTTTTACATAGATTAGGTGTCTGATTCAGGTCCATGAAAAGAGAGAAGAAGCAAGTGTTGGTCTGGAATACTCTCAGTTTATTCCCCTGCCAAGACCCAGTCCTCTTCCCTCAGTGCACCTAGCCTGCTCTCAGATAAATACCACTTAATTTCATTAAGGTCCTAACCTATTTATGTGGCACATTAGGTCCATGTGACCACCTGACTGTGGTGTCCAGCTGCCCAAAATGTTTGGTTTATAACTGCTTTATCAAAACAGTTTCCAGAACCACCATCCACCACCATCTTATGTAGCTGACTATCATTAGCTCTTGGCCATCATATTCCTGTATACCAATACATGAAATTGATTAGATTATCCTTGGTTCATAAATGTTGGGTCATAATATAATATTGTGACATTTTTCTTGAAAGCCTTCATAGACTAATACAGAATCGAATCCTAAGCTCCTATGTCCAGGTGATGTCTCAGATGCAACATTTTTTTCAATAAAATATATGCGAGCAATATACACATAGATTTTTAATCATTTGGTGCCTTTTGAAAACCTTTAGACATCTCGGTCTCTTGATCCTTACCTATTGCCCTTCAGTCAATTCTGACTCATGGCAACCCTATTTGACAGAGTAGAACTGCCCCATAGGGTTTCCAAGGCTTCTTTTGGGAAGCAGTCTGCAACATCGTTTTCCCACAGAGTGGCTGGTGGATTTGAACTGCTGACCTTTCAGTAAACACCTGAGTATTTAACTACTATGCCACCAGGGCTCCTTATTGTGGTCCTTAGTTTCCCAATATTCTGTCCATATTGCCTCCCTAAGTGGGATTCACCTTGTATGGCGAAAACCCTGCAGCAAGAAGGGCAGAAGCCTACCCCTGTACAACTCTGGGACCCCTAACTCCAGGTTACCAAAAGGAAAAATAAACAAAGGCACCTAAAAGTAGGGAGAAATGCCTTTGAAATAATTTGTACTTGATATTTTTAAGAAGCATCAAAATAGTCATTTTGAAGAAATAAAAGCTTTGTTTTTCTGACAATTACTTTTGCAACATAATTTACTTTTGTTTTGAACTATGGTGGGGGGAGAATGCCATCATACTACTTTCATTGCTTAATGGCTCTTTGGGTCTTAATACGGCCCTAGGGTATGGGTCAGTCTTTCTAGTGGGCAGAAGTGGCAGTTGCCCAAGTGAAGGACTTTCAGGATCTGGGAAAGGTTCTTTGCCTCCAAATATCTCCCTGTCTTAGATTCTTATCTCATTTTCCAAAACTTTTTGCTCCACAGTTGGTGAGAAAGGTTACAATGAGTAAAAGTCAAGCACATTCACAGTAGGGTGCAAATGATTGATAGTCTTCTTTCTAGATTTGGATCATTACGGAGGCCACTTAGTGTCTGCATGATGCCATAGCAAAGAGACTGGAATTTGGAAAATGGACTGCTTGAAGGACTTCAAGAACATTTTTCCCCAAACTTAGCCAAATTAATTTTGGGGAAGGATGCCAAGAGATGTTTATTTTGGGATGAATATTCCCAAGTGAATGTGGCTCTCACTCTGACTTGAGACCTTAAAATATGCATGAGAATATGAAACGGGGAATAGAAAGAACTTGAGGTTACAGAGGCCTGAGTAATAGAAGGGCTTCATTCAAAACTGGTATGCTAGCTTCCCATGTTCCTCTTCACCCCTAACCCAATCTTATTATCCCATCCATTCTCCAACTTAATTCTAAACCTAGGTGATAGAATGGGCTCTAATCTTAAAGGCACAACTTTTGATCTTACAGGGCTTCATGTATCTACCAGGAAGTACCATAAAGGAGATTGCCACAAACCCAGAAGAAGCTGGAAAGTTTGTCTTTGAAGTCATTCCAGGTAGGTGACAAAAGGTGGAACAGAGGTGGATTGCATTCCCATTTTATTTCTGGATCCTGAAAATCAAGTGAGTCAGTAAACCAATGGGATAGACAACCTACTAAGAACCTATACTAGTTCTATCTATTGTTACTGAAACTATACTAGTTCTGTATACAGAGTTAATGAACCTATGCTAATTCATTAACTAGTATCAAATCCCTGAGTAGTGCCTATGAACTAAGCTGGTGTATATTGGGTTTAACTCTGCAAGGACTTAATGAAAATATGCTGGGAGCCAGGTATGCCTCTAGGCAGTGGGACACTGATATGAAAAAACATCACCCCTGCTCTCTGAAAGAGTTCAGTTTAGTAAGAGAGTTGCACATTAAAATTAACAGTTAAAATGTAAATGGAACGACATGCGATTACCATCTTGGAACATAAAAATGGTAGAATATCAGCAGGGTTGTATGGTTCAATTCATTATAGTGAGAAGGAACACCTCCAGCTTACTGAACACTTTGTATGTGGAGGTACTGAATGCCACATATTGCACGTGTGTGTGGCACACTGAGGGTGCCTACTCCCCATCAAGAATTACCTTCCTTGAATGCATCAGGAAAAAGGGATTTTGTCTCATGTTCCTGAATCTATCTACACTGAGGCTGCTTATCTGCTATCTCTTGCTCCTACACCAGCTGTACCCCTGCTGGAAACCATAGGATTCCTGAAACCTGTGGAGCTCCTCCCCAGGGAAGACCACAATTCCCCAGAATGCTCCTTCCCTTAATTCCCCCCTTACCATCTGGTGGCGTAGTGCATAAGGCATTTGACTGGTAACCAGAAGGCTGGCTATTCAAACTCACCAGCCACTCCTCGGAAGGAAGGTTGGACAATCTACTTCTGAAGTGATACTGCCTCGGAAATCCAAGGAGGGGTCGCTATGAGTCAGATCTGACTTGAGGGCAGTGCATTTGGGGTTTTTTTTGGGAAGCATCCACACAAGGCAATTAGGTGCATAAGAAGCTTGATGGAAAAGGCAGTGTAGCACAAAGATTAGAAGAGAACATCTGAAGGAAAAATCTTCCAGAGGGAATACCCAGTACAAAATCTCTGAGCTTTCAGTGTTCAAGGAACACCAAGGAGGCTAGTGTGGCTACAGTGGAGTGGCGACAGGGAAGAAGAGGAAGAGATTGGGTGAGGAATGGGGGACTGATATTATTGGCATCTGTAGGCAATTGAAAGACCTATAGATTTTATGCTGGAAGGATGAGGTGCCACGGGGAAGTTTTGAGCATAGGTGTGGCATGAGCTGACTTATGTTTTGAAAGGACTACTCTTTTGAATTGAAAATAAAAAGTAGAAGATGAGGAGGCAGGACAGAGGCGTGGAGAAAAATTAGGAGGCTATTATAATTATTGAAGCCAGGGATGATAATAATGAAGAAAGTGAGAAACCATTTCTGGACACATTTTGAAGGTGGAGATGACTGGTTTTGCTGATGGATTGAGTGTAGGAAAGAGAAGCCAAGGTTGACTCCAAGGCTTTGGCCTAAATAAATGGAAAGATGGATTTGCTGGTATTTAGTGAGATTTGCACATGTAGCAAGTTTTGAGGGAAGATAAGGGTTTCAGTTTTGTATATATTAAGTAATGACCTCAGTTTTCCTAATAAGGAAACAGATGTTAAGGATAATTTATGTACTGTTGTGATAGTGGTAGGGACATGGTGTTAAGGGAATATAGAATAGGGGCTCCCCACTCCATTTGGAAAGGGAAGGAGAATGTTAAGAAAGGGTACTATGGAAGACAACATCTGAGCTGGGTTTTAAAGGAGGTTCCTTAGGCAGGGTAAGAAAAGACAAAGGAAACAGTCCAGTAGGTGGCACATGCTGGACAGACTGTGTTTAAGTCAGAGAAAGTGTGTGGGTGAGGACAGAGGTGTTATTAGTGGGCTTTTGTCTTAGCGTTCTCTGGAGAAACAGAACCAGTAAGATATATGCATAGATATACAGAGAGATGCACTTCAAGGTATTGGCTCACTCAATTGTGGGAACTGGCAAGTCCAAAATCCATAGATCTGGTGATACACTGGAGACTCCTCGTGGTTCAAGGGATTGTAGAGGGCTGGCAAGACCAAAATCTGAAGGTCAGAGGGCAGGCTGGAGACATTTGAGGGTGTATGTACCAAGATCCACAGGTCAGGGAATGGGAAAAGTGTAGGGTGCCAAAACATTTATTGTCTCTGGAGGCAGACCACTCTCTAAGAAATCACCCTTTTCAACTGACTGATTGATTGCATTAAATTAAATTATATTATGGAACAGCAGCTGGTCTAGCGTTTGGCAAAACCACTGGGAACCAGAGCCTAGCCAAGTCAACACATAAAAATAACCATCATATATTTGTATAGATGTCAGGCCATTTCCCTCAGAGAGAGCCCATCCTCAAATTCAGGTGTGCCTAAAATTTTTTTCCTGTAGAACAACAAACAACTTTCAAATTCCCTTTGGCTCTGGTTTGTTGAACCTATTGTACTATGGCCAAGCCTTACTCCTTTTACTGTTTAGGTGATCTGATTCTGAATCCATCAGCTATCCCATCCAGAGGGAGCTCTGGTAGCATAGTGCCTAAAGCACTTGACTGCTAACCAGAAGGCTGGTGGTTCAA